CTTTGCATACTTTAAAAACTGTTTCTTTTGTCGTGTTTTTAAAAAATTCACAACTTTAAACTCAACTCAACTGATAGTAATGGGTTTATAGTTCAGTCGTTATTTGCTTTTAAATTTATTTTTTTCTAGCCTTTTTTTTTTTTTTTTTGTAAACAAATGTACATATTTTTGTAAACTACTGTCATTTGTTGACGATTGTAATGTAGGTGAAAGTATTAGAAGAAGTAAAACAGAAAGGTGTACAGAATGCTGATACTTTTTGGCATTTTTGTGAAAAAAAAAAAAAGGAAAACAAACAAACAAACAATTTAGAGTTTGCCATCTGAACCTTTAAGAAGTTGTTTTCTTCTTCTGATCTTTGTTCTATTCATATAATTTAACCTTTTATTTAGTAACATAAGAATTCTATGTTCATTTTGATTCTTCTTCTTTTCTTCTCCTTATTTGCTCGCTATCTTTTCTAATTTTATGACTTTTATCTTTTTTTTTCCGATAATTACAAAAACAAAACTGTTATCAGATTTTTTAAGCATATTTGCTTAGACTATCATTGTACGGGTGTGATACAGTTGTCTAGAATAAACTGTAAAAAAAATGGACAAGCAGAAAATTTGAAACAAAGGAACAAAAAAAAGCTAAATATTTCTTTTTTTTTTTCCTTTGTTTTTATTACTGTATAATGTATTACAGTCGTTATTTTTTCCCTTCTCAGTGATATCGTAACGTTAGAACGATGCAAATGTATCGCTAAACGTTTGTCGAATTACGCACTGTTTCAATGAGACGATAAATGTAAACTATCTTCTACAGATGAAACTCTATTTTATTTCTTTTTGTTTTTTTATAGGATAATCGTCATATGAAGCTTATGCGGATTTTATAGCCTTCTGCCCTGAAAAAAAAGAAGAAAGATTTAGCTGCTTCTTTTTTTGGATGTTATAACGTTACAGTTTGATCAATATAAATGCATAAACTATGTTGCGAGATACGGTTTTCAAACTGATAACTGAATCGTTGCTAAACTGCACAAATCTTGATGTACCGTCAGCCAAAGAATTCTTATCGAGTAAGTATTACTTATTGCTTAATTTGGATATTATTATTATTATTTTTTTTTTTTTTGACTTTAGAACATGTATGTTAAATACGTTTTTTGGCAAAAGCTGTGAATTTTAAAGATTATTATAATAGTTTTAAAGGCATTATGAAGTTGAGAAGTTTAAAAGGTTTCTTTACAATTAAGCCAAAAAATAAACATGATTTGAATTTTTTTTTAACTTGTCTTTGATATCATTTTAACAGAGGTTGCAGTGTACATGATTTATTGAACTATCAATTTTTCTGTTTTTATAGTCAATATGAGATATGAAATAGTTAGTGAAAAACATGGCATTTTTTTCTTCAGGTCTTAGTGTATCCTTGATAATCGGCTTACTGATTGCCACAGTTGTTACAGTTATCACCGTTATATTGGCTGTTGTACATTTTTTTTACATTATTTGCTATGTTACTCATAGATATCGAAGAGGATTTATTCTGTTTCTTGCAGGAACAGCTCCGGTTAGCTATTTTTTTAGACTTGTCATGTTTTTTTTTCAATGGAATTTTACCTTGTCTAAGTTTATTTGCCACATTTGTTGATACGAAGCGATAAACGGTGAATATTTCAGCTTGTGTCACTATTCTCTTTAACGGCAATGTATATGCCAAGAGTGTGGTTCTTGGCTCATCTTCTAAGTTTCTTGTGAGTGGATTTTACTTGAACATATCTCTTAAGCTGTTTTGTCGTTATCAACAGCTTAGATGAATAATATTTTTAAATTTAGGTTTTTTATATTGCACTACATTAATTGAGGTACACGTTTGTTTTTTTTTCGTTGAAAAAAAGTTCTTATTTGTGTATTTCAGTTACTTTTCAATGGCTTTATGGGTAATCATATGCCTCCTAAGAAACATTTTCGAAGGACGTCAAGAAATGTTGAAAAAAATGAAAAGTGAAGGCTCACAGATCACCGTTCAAACACCACCGTTTTGCTGCTTTTTTCCGTGTCTACCAAAACTTGAATTGGAACGGTAAGTTCTGAAGCTTACTTTATTTGCCTATTTATAAAAGATATATACTGCTCTTTATCGGAGAAGTCACTGACTATGTGAATGCTTTTTTTTAAGTTTTTTCTGTTGTGCCATTAGGGCGTCATGAAAGTTTTTCTCAATTGTTTTGGCGTTTTGTTGCCTATGGGAACAAAATGATTTCCGTTCTGTTTTTTTCAGTGAAAGGATTCGGTTTTGCGAAATGATGGTCTTTCAAGCGCCATGCATTCGATTGATCTTTACAATATTAAGTCTTGTTCTATTTTTTGAAATCAAGGACAACCCTTACTTGTAAGTATAAATTAGTCAAGTGTCAACACTGATTGTAACCTATTTCTGAATGTTTTGTTTACTTTTTTTTTTAACTTCGCACAGAAGTGTCGCTGAACTTAAAATTAAAAGTTTATTTTATTTTTACGATTACGAAAGTAAAGGTTGAAATTTGAAAGTTTATTTAAACTTGAAAAATCTTTAATTTTATAGGGCATTAAAAGTTTTGGACTTGGTATCGGTTCCATCTTTGTTAATTGGCGTATACGGGACACATATACTTGTCACTTCAGCTTCCAAATTGGTACTTTATTTTGAACTTCAATTTATGAATGGCGTCGCCTGTAACATAAACCTGCTAAATATCTTTCGTTCACAAGTACTTTGGGTTTTGTAGAGAAACAGTAAGCTGAACAAGCTTCATAATTCAGTCAGTAATGACAGTTCGATTATACTGACTAATCAAGGTTTAAAAAATAAGCGTTTTTTT